CTTTCCATGCTCTTTTGAGGTAATGGAGGCCACGCCCCAGGAAGCTGTGTGGCATCACTGTGTGGCCTGAACAAGGGGGTTGCATCCCACCCTAAACCCCTGACAACCCAGTGACCACCTCCTCTAGGATGTTTGCCAAGACCCAAAACCAATCTCTGTTATCCGGTTCACAGTGACCTGATATAGGGACTCCCGGGCAAAATCTTCACAAGAGCAGAGTGACTCGTCTTCCTCCTGGTGATTCACCTACCATGCACTGCCACCAAGGCCCTTTCAGGGGACAGAGTTCAGTCTTTAACAGAAACTGACAATATTAAGTAGTGTGTTTGAAAATCCAAAATCCATGCCATTCACGATGATGGGAAGGAGTAGTGACTTAAAGAACAAACATGGGTCGGACAGTTGGGGCCTGATCCATTTCCGAAAGTAGGCATTTTGAGATTTCAGAAAGATCTTCTCAGTCTGAAACAGGATCTGGAGCAACACTCCCTAGTCAGACACGTCAGGACAAGCGCTGTGTGAGATGACGGCTCTTAAGTCCAACACAGACTTGCAGACCAAAGGGAACAGACTGGAGGTTTCCAAGGGCAGGCTGGCCACCAGGCAAGGGTGTGAGGATGAAGAAGAAGACCAGAGAGGCCAGACAGATAGCATCTTCAGTGAACGGGCCGCTAGAGAGCCCTGAGAAGTGAGAAAGCAAAGGATAGGGGTGGGGTAGAATATAGAGTGGGGCGCTTTGATGAGTGATTTCAACTGTTGACTGCAGCATTGAAGGATTGAAATGTCAGCCCCCTGCCTAATGCACAATGGAAAATTCACTTTATATATAGCCACCTCTACTAAACAGCCGCCATGGAAGTGTCGGGTGAAGCTGGACCTCAAGAACCAGCCTTGTCTCCACCTTCGACAAGGTGCACTCTTGCCTCTTCTCAGGCAGCGCTCCATTTAATTGAAAGAGCCTCACGTTTCCTCTCTAACCCGCTTCTGCCTGACGAAGCTTCTGACTTTCACAGGTGTCTTACTTGTTTTTAAATGTGAATTCGGCGAAGGTTTGCATTTCAGGTCATCCAGTGTGTATTCGACAACTTAACCTGTTATCAAACTTCCCGACAGCTTGCCCTTTCACAGGTTGTAGTGCAGAGAGAATCCCTTCTATTGGAAGTACCGCCTGATAGCTTTTTCCAAACTGAACCGTCATTAGTATCTCTGCCGAAAAATAGATGGCCCATTGATGATAAGTGGGCTGAACGGAAAGTGTAAATTTTCTCCTCTGAGAAGGGCAGAATGGGGCTGCCAGATGAGTTAGCTTCGATTGGGTGGTGCAGAGAGGCAGGGATAAGCCTGGGATAGGGGCTTTGGAGCTGACGCTGAGGGGCTGGATCAGGAGAGACGGTCCCATGAGAGCCATGCTCTGAAGGACGAGGGGGAGAGGTGCTAGCCGAAGGCGCTCTGCCAGCCCAGCTGGAGCCCGATGCTGTAGCCTCACCAAGAAAGGATTCTTCCTGACTCTTGAAGGAATAACTTGTTTTTCTGGTTTCTGGCCTCCAAACCATGCACAACAGGACGTGAAAAGGATGGAGAGACCAGGGTGGTAAAGGGGGCTGCATCCTGGGGTGAGGGTGACAGGGCAACTTGCCAGCCCCCACTGGACCCAGGAGGAGTGACCAGGGCAGAGCTAAAGAAGAACCAAGCTCAAAACCAACCACAGGACACCTCTGCGTCCCAGGGACACTACCCGTGGAGTAGACACTGATGCTGCCCCTCCGATGGGGACTTGAGTCTGTGAAGAGAAGGTGCCTGCTCAGGTTGGCCTTTGGCCTGCTGCTAGTCTCCTAGTCTGGAGTTTATTTTTAACCCTCCTGGGCAGGAGGGAAAGTCACAGGGTGGGCCCTGGGAGCACTGGAGCGGGCAAATGCTAAGGTGGGGGAGTTTTCTTCTGTCCAATCCTGGTGTGCCGGCCAAACAGACTCAGGTGGGCTTTTCTTCCAGAAGCAGTAGACTGGGCAGCAGTGGAGTCCCAGCCCCTTGGCTGAAGCCCTCACCCAGCACAGCTGTGTGCCCTTAGGCAGCACCTAGTCCCTCTGCACCTGCCTTCCTGAGTCCATGGTCCCCGGGAGACAGCATGGCACTGGGACATGAGGACTCCCTGGGACACAGCTGGCTTGACCTTGCCTGCCAAGCAGAGGGTGGTGGTTCTCACCCACCAGCGGCCCCACAGACGCAAGGCCTGGCACTCTGCTTCAGGCAAGGTGACAGGCCAGACAGCCCCACAGAGCAGCTGT